TGGAGGGAGGAAGTGCTGTGTGTGTTGGCTTGAACTGTGATGAATGCAGCCAACTGTGAAAACTATTATGTGTTCCTTGTCTTTTAACTGATTATGTTCTAGCACAGTGTACAACTGAATTACCATGTAACCAATCTCTGCTAATAATTACGCCAATGTATCTCGCCTCAGACTTAAGGCATGTTGTATTCAGAATGAGAAACAGAAGGAAACTGAATCATGTCTGTCTCTGGAGACCCCAAGTCCTCTGTTCCAGCAGAACAAACTACAATATCCTCAACTGAGGGAGCTCTAAGCGTCCAGCCGGGAGAGATCATGGCATTGACTCTGATTAATTTAGTTAATTATTAGCCTTGGGGTTCCACTTCAGCAGTCACTCACAACACCCGCTCTATCCCCTATTCTGCCCTTTTAAAAGGAATGGAGGCCTTGAAAAAGCAATCAGATGGGTAGCAATTACAGAGTTTCTTATACTCAAAGGGTTCCTCGTCTTTCAGCGCAGATCTTCAGAGGAGTTCTGGATGACATCCTACAGGATCATAAGAGAAATCTTAGGGGAAGGAGATGTGTGGGGAAGAAAGGCAGCAATGGAAGAGTTAAGAAAGGAAGCGATCTTGGTCTAAAATGTGTGCTTATGCCTTAATGTGTCTCTGCAATAGCAGTTTTTGTTTTGTCATTAAAGACCCCATAAAAACAATTTTCTTTACTTTTTCTAAATATTCCTATTGAAACAGGACATTGGGCTAGCTCAAATCAAATCAACAGTTTGGTAAAACCACAATTTGCTACTTGCTATTGCTAATAGGTGGCATTAGACATTCTAGAGAACATTTAATTGGCCAAAAAAGTATGAATTCTTAGAAAAATCTTTTATTTTTTTTCAGTGTTTAGTGAAAGGAGATGCTAAAATAAAATAAAATAATAAAAAATATAAACTGTAAAAAATATTAATAATAATAATAATTGTGAAAGACTATAAAAATGCTACAGTAAAGACCTGTTAATTGGTTAACAGTAAGTTCCCTTACTCTATATGGGGGAAAACTTTATTAGATTCACATTACATTTCATGTAAGTTTACAGTAAAATACTGTTAAATGCACCACATTTGGAATTAAAAAAAGAACAAGTCATCTTATAATTTACAGTGAAAAACTGAATTCCCTGGGTGACACCTTACATTTGATGGTATTTTCTTTACATATAATTCTTAGTTGTTGTTTTTTTGTTTTTTATAGTTTGTCTAACACTTCTGACAACAAACATTTGAGATTTGTGTTTCTAAAGTTTCACAAAAAGTATGTATAATAGCAAGTGCGTTCGGGAAAGTTCTATTCTCCCAGTATAGATTTTAAATCTGCATATCTGCTAAAAGTTGTTTTGTCAACTTTTAGTAGTACACTACAATACAGATGGCCACTGAGCTAACATACATAAACTAAAAGCAACAATTTCTTGGGGTCTTTGACCTTCACATACAATGCTGCTTCTTCCTCTCTCTCTTAGTTTCTTTAACCTCATCACACCCCTGGCTTTCTTCCTATTTTAGCCCCTCTCTTAAATCCCAGGAGTGCTGTGCTCTTGGTTAGATGCTGTGGCTGTGTGTGACATTCTCAGTGACTGGGTATGCCTGGCTGACCTGGGTTCACACAGACCCATTTACAGGCTCACTAGCCTGCATTCAACCTCCCTCTAGCCATTAAGGCAGTTTGCAAACACTGCGCATATATTTGTGTATGTGTGTATGTGTGTGTGTGTGTGTGTGTGTGTGTGTGACTGTGCAATGTGCACTCGTGCCATGCATTTACTCCGGGCCACTCGCTGCTGACACATGCCCTGATGAAAGCAGGACACATCAGCCCAACCCACCCTCTCTCTTATTTCATTTAACCCTTACACCTTGCTTCATGCAAACCAGCTTTTTACATACAGGCGAACTATGCATGAATATGCATGAATATAATATTATATATATATATATATTCATGCATATATAGACTACCTAGAAAGTTACACCAACTAGAAAGTTCAGACAGCATTTACCTGAAATAGAAAGCTTTTTTAACATTATACAGTACTTTTATTTTGGAAAGAAATTAAAGAAATTAATACTTTTATTCAGCAATGATGCAATAATTTGATAATTTATAAAAGCTTTCTATTTCAGCTAAATGCTGTTCTGTTGAACTTTCTATTTATCAAAGAAACCTGAAAAATTGTACATAACTGTTAAATATTCATAATAATAATATTGTTGTTTTTTTTTAAAGCAAATCAGCGTATTAGAATGATTTCTGAAGGATCATGTGACACTGAAGACTGGAGTAATGATGCTGAAAATTCTCCTTGATAGATAGATAGATAGATAGATAGATAGATAGATAGTTTTCTTTTCATTTTACTACTACTACTACTAGTACTCATTTAAAAAAACAAACAACAACAAGAAAAAAAAAACTTGTGTAAATTTGATTTCTCAGACAGTGGAGGATTACTGTAGATGTGTGAAGCAGAGAGTTCTGTTTCCCAACTAAAGAGTGAAAATAAAAGCTTACAGTAAGAGCTGGTTGTAAGAAGTGCAGGGAATGTCTTCTGACACTTACGGTAAAAAGGGGGAAGCTCAGACTGCTGGGGGTGGAGGGACGAATGTGAATATAGCGAAACACTCACATACTCCAACACATACTTTAGGCTTAATCACACTTCTGCAAAACAACAAATAGTCTACATCTGGGGTTCCCAGTCCTATTCCAAGAGATCTGCCTTTCTGCTCCAACCCTAATCAAACACACCTGAACCAGCTAATTAAGATCCTCAAGAACACTTGATAATTACAGACAGGTTCGTTGGAGCAGAGCTGGAACTGAACTCTGCAGGAAGGTAGTTCTCCAGGAAAGGGATTAGGCAACCATGGCCTACAGCTGCTTCCCAAAAAGACAGGAAATAATGTTTGCTTGTGTCCTCATATAAAGAGCACAGAACAAAGGTTAATGTACAGAGAAAATTGCATCATTGCCACATCCATTCCAATCATGATGGAAATGTTATGTATGCCACACATACAAGCACACACGTACAGTTCACATAAGGTGACCATATGTTCCCGGACATGTACTGTGGCCAGGATTTCTAAATTGCCTAAAATGTCCAGGTTTTGGCTTTGTTATCCTATGTTTAGATACTTGCTGAAGGTAACGACTGAAAAAGTTTGACCAGGCATTGTACACAATCAACCAATATTGGCATGTGAGGCATTTCAGTAGGAAAACAAAGCCAAAACCCGGACATTTTAGATAAATTTAGAAATCCCAGCCAGGACATGTCCCGGAAAAAGAGAACATAAGGTCACACTGGCTTACAAATACATATAGTGACCCTAAAACGTTTTTGGACACTTTTAGACACTTAAGTTAGCCAGTTCTGAAATTACTTTTTATGCACAATGTTATTTTTAATGGCCGTAAGAAGGCAGTTCTCATGTTCACACAGGTGAAGGGTTGCCAACTGTTCCGTATAATACGGAATTGTCCCGTATTTAAGGCATCAGAGAAGTTTGTCCAGTATTCGCAGGCATACGCCATATGACCATCTAGACCAGGGGTGTCAAACTCAGTTCCTGGAGGACCACAGCCCTGCACAGTTTAGATGCAACCCTAATTAAACACACCTGATCCAGCTAATCAAGTCATTAAGGCTTATTTGAAAACGACATGGTATGTGTGTTGGAGCAGGGTTGGAACTAAACTATGCAGGGCTGCGGCCCTCCAGGAACTGAGTTTGACACCACTGATCTAGACCATACAAATAACAAATTAATCATTCTTTTTGCACAAATCATTGTTTGAATTGCGAACGTAGCCACTCAAGGAAGGGTTTAAGACCTTGCAGAATCCTCTGCCGCCTGGTTGCTCCCACTTCACAGCGAGCGGGGCTCATGCTAACGGCAATCCCCTTCACCATCCGCGTTTTGATTTCGCCAAATCAGTTTGGATGAATGCAAGGAACGTGATTATTGACCATAAACACAACACCCTAGGCAAGAAATCTACCTGAGGGAAGACATCTTTCAGTATTGTAAGTTAATGTTGTTAAATAGAGAAACATAATTACATGTTTTTTAAATTGTAACTACTAGCATATTCCTAAACCTGGACCTCATTAATATTGAAGAACAAATTCAAGCACCAAAAGCAGCCCACACACTCCAAGTTCTCTTTAATTGAAAAATATTCATTTTCATGAATTCATAGGCTACATGGTTGCAATAAAATTTTAGTTCAAAATTTTAAATGTCATTGTTTTTACTTTCAAATTTTATGCCATAGGCTATTGTATGTAATTTGACAGTATATTCACCTCCTAAATTACTACACCACTTTCAGGCCGATGCTTTGTGTATAACATGTGTGACATTTTTTGTATGACATTAAACTTTATTTTTAGAATAATTGTACATAGGTTAAGCAAAACAAATGTGGTTATTTCTGAGAAACTTTTATACACATACTTAACTGTAGACACGGAAATTACATATTCTATGTGGTACAGAACAAATATTTTGAGCGTCCCTTATTCTGTCCCTTATTTTCCTATAAAGAATCACAGTTGTCCCTTATTTTCATTTTCTGAAGTTGGCAACCCTACACAGGTGTCCCACACAGTTGTATGTTATCACATTAACTGTGAACATCCTTTTTTAGTACCACTGTATTTGAAATGCAGGAAAATAAGATTCATTTTGAGGTCTAGCTGCTAGAGAAATCAATGTAAGGTTTGTGTGAGGTAAACTGGTCACATACCAAAATACTCCTCAGAGGGGGGGTTGTCCATGTCATACAGCATCTTCTTAGTCAGACGGTCCAGTTCCTCCTCAGGATGACCCTAAAACACAACAAAGATACACGCCGTGGTTATACATAATGTACACTCTCAATCACACAGTAATCATGCAAAATGTATAGGAGCACAAATCTCACAAACATAATATAAAACACGGTGCCATTTACCATAACAAGATAACGGCAGGCTAATTAAATGATGGGTTGATGCAACAGATTTTCATGGATGTGCACAAGCATCTCATAATTAGAAGGATCATCAGCCTAACGAGATCATCAGCCTAACAAATAACTCAGACATCAAGACTGTTGCTGAGGTTTCAGAAGTTAAAGTGAAGGCCTAGTCCACACATACATGGGTATTTATATAAAAGGAGTTTTTCCTCCTTCGTTTAAATAAAAATCTTGTCCACATGAAAACGCAAAAACACGCTATGAAATGCTGTCAAGAGCATTCCAAACCAACAGGTGGCGATATATCCCTAACCCTAAAGCCATGTTGGCCAATCAGAAGCCTGAAAAAAAAGGTTATTACCGGTTGTTTTCGGTGTACACTCCGACATCACAAACCAAAATCTCCGGTTTCACACCCCTCGGGCTACATGACAACACTGCAAGCGGAGTTTCTGAAAATCTTCACTCTGGCAGGAGTTTTCAAAAAGGTTCGGTTTCAGTGACCTGATACTGTGTTTGCGTGTGGACGCAGGGGCGTGTCTAGAGGGGTGTTTAGAATACTGGCTGTATGAACGTGCAACGGGAGTCAAGCCCGTATTCCTTACTAGTAACCATAGCGACAGTGACCAAAGTAAAATCAAAGCTTCATTAATCAACAGCAGCTTTTAAATTTGGAGAGCAGAGCATTTGAATCGCGCGCAGAACACAAAACTGACGGGCTCTAAAACGTTCAGATGACACGCAGCTCATTTCACCGTCATTGTAAGTTGCTGAAAACATGACATGAAAACATGCAACACACGGTAGACATGTGTTGCGGCAGAGCGGCTCCCTCTCGCACTGATGTGACCATAGGTGGAAATCCTGGGGGGGTCGGGGGGGCAACAGGTGGCGATATATCCCTAACCCTAAAGCCATGTTGGCCAATCAGAAGCCTGAAAAAAAAGGTTATTACCGGTTGTTTTCGGTGTACACTCCGACATCACAAACCAAAATCTCCGGTTTCACACCCCTCGGGCTACATGACAACACTGCAAGCGGAGTTTCTGAAAATCTTCACTCTGGCAGGAGTTTTCAAAAAGGTTCGGTTTCAGTGACCTGATACTGTGTTTGCGTGTGGACGCAGGGGCGTGTCTAGAGGGGTGTTTAGAATACTGGCTGTATGAACGTGCAACGGGAGTCAAGCCCGTATTCCTTACTAGTAACCATAGCGACAGTGACCAAAGTAAAATCAAAGCTTCATTAATCAACAGCAGCTTTTAAATTTGGAGAGCAGAGCATTTGAATCGCGCGCAGAACACAAAACTGACGGGCTCTAAAACGTTCAGATGACACGCAGCTCATTTCACCGTCATTGTAAGTTGCTGAAAACATGACATGAAAACATGCAACACACGGTAGACATGTGTTGCGGCAGAGCGGCTCCCTCTCGCACTGATGTGACCATAGGTGGAAATCCTGGGGGGGTCGGGGGGGGCAGGGGGCAAAAATGCATTTTAAGTTTAGAAACATTTTGCGTCTCCCCCTCCCTTGCCTCACAGTGCTTTGGTCCAAATGCCTGCTTTCCTCTTTTACATCACCTACACCAGGGGTGTCAACTCAGTTCCTGGAGGGCCGCAGCCCCGCAGACTTTAGGTCCAACCCTGCTCCAACACACAAACCATGTAGTTTTCAAATAAGGCCCTGTCCACACGAAGACGCTTTTAGCTGTATACACATACATTTTGTATCGTATAGGCATTTCGTCCAGACAGATCCGTTGTTCTGACGATTTGTGCTACCCGCTCAGATTGTGCTACCTCCCATTAAAAAGATAGGTAGCACAAAACGATAGCGAAAAATGCTACCTATCAGATTGTGCTATCAGCATCTTATTCATGTGGTTTGAGGCTTTTGTAATGTCCATACCTACCCCTACCCTAAACCTACCCGTCCACACCTACCCTTACCCTAAACTTACCCCTAAAACAATGTAAATATATTTTTGGTAGCACAATCTGATAGGTAGCATGTTTCATCGGTACACCAGTGTTTTGGGAGAGTGAACCCGATATTTTTTGAAACCGGGTCCCAGAGTGGATAAATCTGAAAACGCCACCCTTGCGTTTTCGTGTGTACGTCGAATCTGTATATTTTCTGAAACGATGACCTCATCAGCCCACGTCTCGCCCCTAGTCAGACACAGTTACGTCACGTAACAGTAACAAAAACATGAACAAACACTGTACGATTGTCTTTTTATTAACTAACATTAACA